TTTTTATATATAACCTTTAAATAATCTGCCCCTCGCCTGTATATTTTTTATATATAATATTTATACAACCCTGCCCCTCACCTGTTTTTTTTTTACATATAATCTATTATTTATATAATCTGTCCCTCACCTGTTTTTTTTTATATATCATCTTTATACAACCCTGCCCCAAACCTGTATTTTTTTATATATAATCTTCATATAATCTTCCCCTCACCTGTATTGTTTTTACATTTATAATCCGTATACAGCCCTGTCCCTCACCTGTTTTGATATGTACTCACACAATATCATAAATCAAATGACATGCATTATCTGGAGAACACACAAGTGTTTTTTCAGGACATCATTACTGGTATAAAATTTATAGGAAAAAAAAAGCTATTAGTACTCACATTTACCCACACTGATTAGAAAGCCTGTGTGGCTGCGACTGTGCTTTATTGTGCAGAAATATACTTCCTGGTTACAGCATGATAGCGGAAGAATTATGTGATCATGTCTGTGCTTATGACATCATCTCTCAAAAAATGGAAAATATTAACATGTATCTAAAGCCAAAACTTTTCTATTAGTTTTGGATAGAGGGGTGAGGGGCTGGAATCCTTATGAGGTTTATTACTGCCTGTGTTACTGCTGGGAAGATTCACCCCTCTATGTGTTCTAGTGACCACTGTCAGTGGGAATAAAAGTGATAGAAAAACCCAAAATTTGAGTTGTCACCAGAACAGGGAAACTCTTCTGATGGGAACACTTGTTTCAGTGACAACTCTCCAAGAGGGGTTTATCACTTTGGATAGATTTCTCCCACTTCCTATTATGTCTACAGAACAGCAAGTGAAGGGAAATCTCTTGAATGGGACACAGATGGCAAAAAACTTTTAAAAAAGTTTTTTGGTTTTTTTACTAGTCTCGACTCTATTTAAAATGAAAAAAAAAAAATGCTTTCGATATTCTTTAGGGCAATAGTCTTATACAACAGTTACAAAACAATTATTGTATCAGTGATATGTACAGTATTTGTTCTTTTACGAGCATCTGTGATTTTTATGCTTAGACTCTATATCAGCCAATGGAATCCCACTCAACAAATCAGAAGCGTGGACAATGTTTCATGCATTCCACAGAATGTGTTCATATGAATGGAATGTAGCTCCTGAAAACACAAGTGCTCTTTTACACACTTGACACAATTTGGGCTCCTTTTCATGTGCTGTTCATGCAATTCATAATTGCTTTGCCCCCCAAAAAAAGGACTAAGGTTCAATAGGTCAAGCTTAGAAAGAGTCTAGTAAGAAAAGAGCATCTTGTTTGCTCTCTCTTTATAAACTAAGAAAAAATAAATCAATAAAAAGGACACAACACCAATTTAGCTTTCCTTAAACCTAACCTGGAAAATAATGCCTTAACCCCTTACTTCCCGAATCTAACTTCTGTAATGTCTTGCATAAGTAAGGTATTTCCCCCACTTAGACTTTTCCACATTTTTTAAGGTTACAACCTTTTATTAACATGGATCTTATTCCGAATATTGTGTCACTGACTGACACCAACGATAGGCAAAGTTCTTCCCACTGACACCAAAAGTGGGCCGCTTTTCCTCCCACTGATACCAACAGTGGGGCACTACTAAATATTCCACGGTCAACTGTTAGCGGTAATACAACAAAGTGGAAGCAACTGGGAACAACAGCAACTCAGCCACTAAGTGGTAGGCCACATAAAATGACAGAGTGGGGTCAGTGCATGCTGACGCAAACAGTGCGCAGAAGTTGCCAACTGTCTGCAGAGTATATAGCTACAGACCTCCAAACTTTGTGTGGTCTTCAGATTGGAACAACAGTGTGTAGAGAGCTTCATGGAATGGGTTTTCATGGCCGAGCAGCTGCATCCAAGCCTTACATCACCAAGTGCAATGCAAAGCGTCAGATGCAGTGGTGTAAAGCACACCGCCACTGGACTCTAGAGAAGTGGAGACGTGTTCTCTGGAGTTACGAATCACGCTTCTCTGTCTGGCAATCCAATGGACGTGTCTGGGCTTGACGGTTGCCAGGAGAACGGTACTTGCCTGACTGCATTGTGCCAAGTTTGGTGGAGGGGGGATTATGGTGTTGGGTTGTTTTTCAGGTGTTGGGCCTGGCCCCTTAGTTCCAGTGAAGGGAACTTTTAAGGCATCAGCATACCAAGACATTTTGGGCAATTTCATGCTCCCAACTTTGTGGGAAAGGTTTGGGGGTGGCCCCTTCCTGTTCCAACATGACTGTGCACCAGTGCACAAAGCAAGGTCCATAAAGACATGGATAAGTGAGTTTGGTGTGGAGGAACTTGACTGGCCTGCACAGAGTCCTGACCTCAACCAAACAGAACACCTTTGGGATGAATTAGAGCAGAGACTGAGAGCCTGGCCTTCTCGTCCAGTAACTGACCTCACAAATGCGCTTCTGGAAGAATGGTCAAACATTCCCATAGACACACTTCTAAACCTTGTGGAAATCCTTCCCAGAAGAGTAGAAGCTGTTAAAGCATCAAAGGGTGGACAGCTCAATATTGAACCCTACGGATTAAGACTGGGATGCCATTAAAGTTCATGTGCGTGTAAAGGCAGGCGTAACTCTACTTTATAGTCAGAGTGATATAAGTGACAGAGTGACATAAGCGAACCTTAAAGTCACACTAAACTCAGGAGTTAAATCTTAAAAATACATTCAAGTACCTTAACTATTAACAAACATGTAGCTTATCAGTGCATCACTCAGCTGTAGATCCTCAAATCATCTCTGAATTGGTGCCGCCACTGTCCCTCCTTCTGGAGGGAGGCTGCTTTTGTCCCCTATGGTCCCTGTGTGTATTGTAAAGTAGCCACCAGCCCAAGCTCACTCCCGTGATGGACTACAATCTCAATACAGATAAGTAAACTAAACATGGGATTGTAGTCCATCACGGGAGTGAGCTTGCAGCGGTGGCTACTTTACAACACACACAGGGACCATGGGAAACAAAAGTAGCCACCCTTCGAAGGAAGGACAGTGTCAGCACCAATTCAGAGATGTTTATAATATAACAAAACTATTTTTAAATGTGTAAATATGAAAAAAGGTCAAAAAGTTCATTATTATTTCCCTTTACTATGTTATTTGATTGATAGGTGAAATATCAAAAGTTTTAACTACCTTAAAATTGGCCCTCTGTCGCAGCTGTTGGTCTGTTGGGAGCTCCCTAGGAAGTTCTCTGGTTGTCTGCAGCTCTTCATTCCAGTCTCTGGTCTGCGATAGATACAAATTATCAATTATTTTCTATCTTAAAGCACCACTAATTCGTTAGTTACAGAGCTATCTATGTTTAAAACATACAAAAGTACCCATACCTGCACAGACATTGAGATAATAAATATTTGTGTTCTTTGTCTCCAGAAACTTCTATCTATTTAAGCCTGTTTTGAACATTATGTAGTTTATGTCTGGTAAGCCTGTAACACATCTTTACAATGTATGGCTCATTGGTAAATATACTGGTTGTACATATGTTCAAAGCTGCAAAAAGAGGCCACCACTAAAAGCAAAGTAAGCAGGTGCACCTAGGAAGAGCATGAAGAAGCAATACAAGTCATTAGCAATCGCTTTGTCACAATGACCACACCGGTAAGAGAGAGGTCATCAATAGCAATACCAAGAGCAATGAAAGATGACCCGCAACAGTGTCCTTGACAGTATATACGAGCAAGAAGCAGGAAGTTTGAGTGACAAATCCAAACAGGTCATAGACATAAAGAACTGTGATAGTAGCCAATACTTTATAATAATGCCTTATTTGGATCTGGTGCTTGCTCTTGACTCTTAATTATACTTCTAGTAGTGACTTACTGAGCTCGTATGTTATAGACCATGCTCTTCTAGGTGTTTATGAAAAAATGACTGACTGAGGAGATTAATAAAGAGATGTAGTTGAAATGGTTTCTGCTGTCCTTAAAACAGAAGCATTATTATACCTGACCAGGAATGTGTTCCTCATATCCCAGACGTAAGTTGTACGCATCCTCTGCTCGCACACAGTCGATTATATGGTTCGTGTTAGGGGCAATCCAACTATAAACCTGATAGGGTGTTGCAATTCTCTCTAGTGGATGCCGATGCACTCTGAATGTAAAAGTAAAAAAAAAAATATATTAAACTTTCACAATGAGAAAACAAAAGAGCAAGTAGCAAGAGCAAGAAAGTAATTGCACATCTAATGATACCAATGTAATGTGTCATTCCTCCTGTTTAGCTAGAATGGTTTACACAGATTTTTCAGAATTTTACCTCTTCTTTTGTAGAGCAGAAAAATTCTTCTTACATGCCGGGCTGACCTGGTTCAGCAGTTCTACAATACTGTGGCTTAAGTGGCTTGGTGAGGATGGCTTGGGATTAAACGTCTCTGCAGTTGACCTAAAATGTAAATATAAATTTGGTCACTGTTCAGGGGTGATAATATTAATTTCAGGGATAGAGGCAGGCCTGTTGATTTTTTGAATTCCTCTAATCACAACATAAATTTAAAGGAGAACTATGGGGTTAAGGCTTTTCCCCATAGTTCTCCTTAAGGTAACGGGAGGACACAAACTAGCGTCCTCCCATCACCCTAAGCTCAGTATACCGCGAGCTACAGCTCACGGTATACTGAGACGCCACAGTACAGCGCAATCTACTACTCGCGGTATACTGAGACGCACCAGCTGAAGCGGATCCCGACAATTATGTCTGGATCCGCCCAGCTGCGTGAGTGACAGCTGGCTCTGCCTATCCAGAGGCAGAGCCAGCTGTACCCGCCCCCTCCCCGTCCGATCCGCCAGTCAGCGCTGGCGGATCGGAGCGGGGAGGGGGGAATCCAGCCCCTCCCCTGTCACGGCAGAGAGCTGTGACAGGATCGAGAGGTGAGCGAACGCCGGTATCTGTTCGCTCACTTCTCGATCTACTGAGCCGACCTGTGACAGTCTCATTGTCACAGGTCGGCTAGAACTATGAGGTGAGTGAAAAGCACTCACCTAATAGTTCTCCTTTAAGTATTTTTGTTAAAGTGTAACTAAACCCAAATGAAAAAATTAATATATTGTATCTTAACTGTCTTTTATTGTGGTGGCTGCACAAGTTTTCACTTATCTAAAAACATTTTCAGCAAATACAGAAAAAAACTGTTGAACATAAATGCAGTGTCCTTGTCACTTCCTGTGAGCTTAAAAGAAAGCACAAATAGCCTTGTCTTTATTGTGTAAACTACTACATATATTGTGACAGAAGCATTGGATGTCATTGTAAAGATGCAGTAAGGGACAGAGAGAGAGAGTCTGTTTTAGCAGTGACAGGGTCCCTGAAAGATTAAGACAGGCATCCAAAGGGATAAGACTAATAGGGGACAGATGGGTATTACCTGATCAGTCAGTGCTCCCGTTGACTGCTAGAGCAGCATGAATCAGGACATATGAGGAGCGCCTATCTAGGCCTGTCTGACAGGCCTAGATAGGCCGCAAAACCAGACTGACAACTGAGAGTGAGAGTTGGATATTAAGGAGGAACAGTGGGAACCCCTGTCTGAACAATGAAGAGGTGTCTTGCTGCACTCCTTACTGGATATCCTCAAGATGATGCACATGGGTGCTTGTATTGACCACAGGTGGCACCGCCAAAGTCAAGACTTGATAAAGATGTCACCAGGACACCAAAGTAACTTGTACAATCACAAACTATCCATTTTTCGACAGATTTTCTCATTTAGACACAAGCCTGTGTCTAAGTGCCTGATCCTGATGAAGGGGACCCTGCATGGCCCCGAAATTGCTTGTGTCTGAGTTACAAAATCTCTGAATAAATGGATGGTTTCCGATTGTACAAGTTACTTTGGTGTGCTGGTGACATCTTTATCAACCCCTGTATGAACAGACCCATTTGTCTGAGGTATGCACGCTGCAGTCTGCAGACTAGAAGTCCAATCTGGTGACTGATGGAACCAGCTCAGCAGAAAAGCTGAGTCTAATGCTGGGCACACACCTTACAACCATCGCAAGACTTTTGTCTTGCGATGGTTGTAAGGTAATTTAAAAAAACGTACAATCTGCCCATCTTGGACAGGCAGATCGTACGTGCGATGGTCGCAAGCCCGCCCCGCTGAGGGGTGGGCTTCTGATGACCGTAATGCTGAACGGGCAGTGTGCGCTTGCGCACACCGGCCCGTGCAGCTTTTATCTTGTGAACATGCTACACACCCGCCGAACATCGTACGATGTTCGGCTGGTTTTCGAACATGTTCCTAAGTTAAAAGTCATGCGACCATACAGTAGCAGAGGTCGCACGGATCCCACACACCATACGATAATCGTATGATCGCGGGATTTCCTGAGATTATCGTAAGGTGTGTGGGCACCTTAAGGCAGCACTGTCTTAAGGAGGGAAAAGTCAGAGTTGTATGAAAAATAAAGAGAAAGAGAGAGAGAAGAGGGAGCGAGAAGAGAGAGAGAGGGGAGCGAGAAGAGAGAGAGGGGGAGCGAGAAGAGAGAGAGGGGGAGCGAGAAGAGAGAGAAAAGAGAGAGAGACTTGGGCCGGCTGTTATGCTGAATAACCCTGCAAATGTAGAACCTTGTGGTATTTCTATATCTGAATGATTAAAAGTGGGCAAAAAGCACTACACCCCATTCTGCTGAGTAGACGGAATCCCTGTATAATATTTGTAATGTCTAATTTTACTCTATTAATTGATGCCCAGAAGAGAATGAAATGTTTGCTTAGCTGTGTCAAACAGATAACTCATTGTAGGCACACATGTCTTTTTAAAAATGAAACCATTTTCAGAAATATACTACAGAATCATCTGAACATTGATACTAGTGGTGCAGCACTTACTGGTTGATGTAAAATCCTCTGTTGGACGAAGTGATATTAATGTGATGATCTTCCATTGTTACCACCGTCAAATACATCAAGTCTCCATGCATTCTGCGATTGCCTGGAGGAGGATTCCAGCCACTCATAATCAAAGATTTAAGACACTGAAGAGGCTGTAGTATAAAACCAAACAAAGTATTAATAGCAGGATTTATTAGGAAGAATAAAATGGACAGTTATACCAGTTTTAAAACTCGAAAGTAGCAGATGGGATGCTACAACACTGAAAGCCAGAAAGGTAAATGCACTAACTGGGATTTACCGGTACTTTATACCTTATTATGGCAACTATTGCCCCAACATGCATGCCATCTCTATTATAGGATGATCTGATTTCGACATGTGTCTTGTTGATTCGTATATAGTGATTGGTCTACAGTAAAAAAAGAAGTCTTTCTGCCTCAAACCGCTGTCTTTTACAACAAGCTACAACACAATAATAAATGTCACTCTGCTCCCAAACAGTACATCTTGTAAGAAATTTTAAAAAAACAAAACATATAACTTGCTCACCATCTGATATTTTGTTTGGTATGGTATGGAAAAGGCATTAGCTAGTCATATATGGCATGGATTCCATGAAGAAAGAAGATTACAAACACAATGACGCTGCTATAACATAAGAGGAAGTCTTCTACCATTTGCAGGGTTATTCACTAAAGGGTGAAGGATTCAGAGAAGGCAAGAGAAGTGAACAATCTAGTACAACATAGCTGATTTGGAAATATTCTCCAATTCAGGTAACTTTCCAGTTCAGCTATGTTGTCCTAGATCAGGGGCGCCCACAATTTTTCGTTCGGAGATCTACTTTTCAAATGACAAGGTCAATGAGATCTACTAACGAAAAAACACCTGCATTC